GGGGGGGGACGCAGGGAGGATGTCCCGCTTCCTTCTTAGCCCCGCCCCCCGGTGCTCCAGGGGCGGGGCGGGGGGGACGCAGGGAGGATGTCCCGCTTCCTTCTTAGCCCCGCCCCCCGGTGCTCCAGGGGTAGGGGGCGGGGGGGATGCAGGCACTCTCTGGGGGGAGCAGAGGCCCTGTGCTGCCGTCACTTCAGTGACACAGGCAGCCGTGTCTGGGGACTGGGGCCCGACAGCGGCTCTGCATGCAGGGGCTGGGCCCGAGGCGGGGGCCACAGGGCTCTCCGGCGTGGTCAGCGCCAGCCTCTCGCTTCCCCAGGAAACGGCCCTTCTGCTAACTCTTCCAGGGAACGTTCAGCCAAGGGCAGGCTCCCTTGTCAATCAGATGAGGAGCCAAGTCATTGGAGGAGAGAGAAGCCCGGCAGGGCAGAACCAGCCTGGCCGCCTCTGGCAGCATCTGTAAGTGTAGACATGGGCGGAGGCTAAGCCGGGTCCCCGAGAGGCCAGCAGGGCTGTCTGGGGTGACCGCTTTGACGCTCGGCCTGTCCCCGTGGGTGTGTCTGTCTGTCTGTCTCCTGCAGGACTCAGGCCACCTTCGGAATCAGACTTAGCGGTGACTTGGAGTTTGGGTTTCCCGCTGACCCGACAGAAAAATGACGCCTCCGCAATAATTCTACAGGAACAATGTGCGGGAAAGAAAGCGGTTTGGAGGACAGGGTCCATAGCCACCTGCAGAAGCTATGCTGAGCGGCCACGGGAAGGGTTTCCGGCTGCGGCGAGGAATCTCGGACCCCCGTGCAGAGGAAAAGTGTGCGTTCAGCAGAACCCGGCAAGGCTGCTGTGGAATGGTTTTAAATGTCTTTTCCCTCATAACTAGATTATTCAGTACAATGTCATTTGCTGCCACTGACATTTTCTTTAAAGTCATAAAGGCCTACATAGTAATAAAAGAGTCCAGAATAAAATTAGGAATATCATGTATAAATTATCTTTAACCTTACCTTCATTTGGACTGTGACTTTTTAGACCTGATCAATTTTCATGAAACTATCCACATAAAACTGTGAAAAGATGTTTGATCCCTGGCTCTCGTGAAGGCAGGGTTAACAAGGCTGCTACTTTGCTTCTACTTAACGGTGCTCTTGGTGCCAGTCTCTGTGGGCAACTCGGGAAAGCAGGGGATAATTTTGAATTTAATGTAATTTCCCAGAGCATTGTTAGGGAAAACACCTCTGTCGATATGCATATCTTATACAAGGGCCATGTCGTCAAGGACATTCAGCAGCTTACTAAATTTTCTGCTTAGTTGGAAAAGCATTCACTCACACACCCGGGGCTTTCCCCGTCTTCGCAGGGGGAAACGGTCTGGGCAACCGTCGTGCCCGCTCACACCCTTGCATTATGTGCAATGCAGGCTTCCCTGCAGAGCCATCAGCTGGGCCCAGGACGTGGGTGGGACGATGACCTGAAGCCACCGGTCTGTCCTCAGGCGGCGGGCATGGCCTGGGCCAGCCTGTCTGGACAAGCAAAGAGTGGGTGGTTCTTGGGGGTCTGGAGCCTCCAACAAGGACTCCTTGCACCATATTTGCTTCTATAGCAAAGTTGGCTACAGAGCTTCCTCAGTCCTAGTGAGAATCCCAGCTTGGAAAACCTCGAAGTGGGAAGGAAGATCTCCTGTGCCCATGGGGGACATCAGTTTAGTGTTAGGAATTAAGCAATTCCTAAATTTCTGGAGGGTGCATTGGTCCTTCTGGGACTTTCTCGAGGCTCCAGAGTGTCTGCTGAGCCTTGCTGAGCTCTCCCGGGTCAGTCCTCCGCGCCCCTCTGCACATGGGGCTGCTCGAAGTGATGGGGGGCCATGGTGGAGGGCTCCCCACAGGGCCCCTCACCCCCCCTTCGGGGACTGCAGTCTGTGTGCGGCAGTGGCTCCTGCCCCAGCAGACCCAACCCTCATCCGTCCCGGTCTTAACGCGGTGACTGAGGCCCGAGGAGTCTGAGGTCAGTAGGTACAAAGCAAATGGAATATTAGCCATTACTCCCCTCGTAATCTGAACATTACATTTATAGACCTTTCATCCAGACGGTTCCCAGAGGGCATTTGCAAATTTAACAAACTGTGGCCGAGAAGTCCAGCAACCTCTCCGGTGAACAATCGTACTCGATGAACCATGCCACCTCCCCAGCCCCTGCACAAAATGCTGGAGCCCAAGTTCAAAGTGGGATCTTGTGGCAGCCCATGGACTCCAGCACACCCTAATGCTCCTTCCAAAGTCCTCAGCACAGTGTCTGTGACCCTTTAGCCCCTTAGCCTGTTAGGGAGCCCCCGTCCTGATTACCTGTCGCATGAAAGCATGAGCGATGTCCACCCCCACTCCTGCCCCTGGGCATGCGTACCCTTCTCTGCACTCAAGTCTCTGGGGTAACATGTCTGGCCTGATTCGGGGTGTACCTTTCCCCGGGAAATTGCTGTGGGGTCCAGCGTTCCCTGTGGCCTCAGGAAATCCCTGTCCAGCTTTGCACGCTCACTGGCTGTCACCGGTATTTGCTGTCCCGGTATTTGCTGTCCCTGAGAGACAGCCTACTCCGAGAGAATGCTCCGTGCTGTGAATGCCCAGGACGGGGTGCTCAGAGGGCTTGGAGGCATGGCAGGGAATTGTTGGAGGGCTATCTTCATCCCCCTAGCCTGTACCTCCCCTGGCTTGGATCATACAGGGCTGGGTGTTTCCCCCAGGATGCCCCACTGAATCAGTAGAACTCCAAATGGATTTCCTTGGGATGCTCTTCATCAAAAGATGTCCTGGTATAGAAACCAGCAGCTGAAAAGACCTCCCCTTGGGTCTCACTCCAATCTGTGGTGAGGGGCTGGGCCCAGGTGTTACCCTGCTCCTTCCCTGTGTCTTCCAGAGGCAGATCCCTGCTGTGCCCTGGGGTCTCATGCCATGGTCTCTTTCACACACACACACACAGAGACACACACACACACATACACACACAAAGGCACACCTATCTCCACCTGAAGCTGATCCCTGGCCCGAGACTCTGCAGGAAGGAGAAGATGCCCCTTCCAGACCAGGCCAATGCCAAGGCTATGAGTGTTTCTTGGAGGCATGCCACAGCCTGGCCTGGCCTTGCGGAGTGCCTGAGACACAGGCCCGTGCAGAATGGCTAGGGCAGGCTGGAGGCACGCTGTCGTCGATCAGTCACTACTGGCCCAGGCCCAACAACATGGCAGAAGGTCAGCTGGGAGCTGGGAGCTGGCCCGGCGCTGAGCCGTGAAGTACTTTGTCCTAGTATTTAGGGACACTGTGACCCAAGGAGATGTGGTTTTCAAAGAAGTGGAGCAGAGAGTGGTGCTGGGTGGGGAGGGGAGCTGGGGAGCGGTGGCTGTGGGTGACCCTTGTGGCAGTGGTTTACATGGAGCCTGGGGAGGGGACCACCCTGAAGCCAGGGATGCCCACGACTCATCCATCCTTTCCATGGAGTCTTCTCAAATACCCCCCAGAAGGGTGGTGTGTTCTCCGGGGCAGGCTGTCCTCTCCTGACTCTGAATAGACGAGATCTGTGTGGAGCTCCTGCACAAAGCTGTAGGCACGGGAGGGTTCAAGTACAGCTGCTAGAACTCAAACAGGGCACCAGGCTTCCGAGCTTTGCTCCTGATCCCAGGGCTGAGATCCAAGTGCTCAAGGTCCTTACCCATAAATGCGAATATGGTTTTTCCTGGAGTGTGCCTGAGTCCGAACACCACTGGCCACCATTTCTGGGTCCTGGTCGCTCTGTTAGCCGTGAAGGTGCTGCCTGACTCATAGCAATTCTCCGTTGGACAAACGGAGCTGACCTTTGCCCCCAGTCAGGACAGAGCCATACTGGGCACCCCGTGTGTCCTGCCCCGTCCTGGTGGGATGGGTGCAGGGATGGCTAAGGTCGCCTGAGGGGAGCGACCCCCTCCGTGTATGGGGCCGGCCCCCCTCCCTGGGTGGCTTGGGCCGGAGTTGGTGGACACGCATAGCAGAAGTCTGCAGAGGGCTCCAGGTGGGTGCTGGCCCCTCCCCCTCTAATGCAAGAAAACTGAAGCGTCCTGGGTGGTGGCTCACACTCTGGATTTAATTGTCCTTGAAATTGTTACATTCTGGGGAGGCATTTCCCTAGATTTGGGCTGTCCTTGGAAAGGGGACCCCACAACTCCACATCTCTGTGATTAATAAAAGATGCAGGCCCCTCCTTGAATCCCCCATGTGCTGCAGATCCATCCAGCATGTCTGATGCACCAGATGAGGCCATTTAGACACGAGAAGCCGCCTACTCCCGGCTCCACGTTCTTTCTTCTCTCCCTGCTCGGCTGTGGGCCCTGATTGTTGGTCAGGTCTCCCTGGGAGCCCCGAGGAGTCCCCAGTGGGCCAGCCTGGTCCAATCAAGTCTGACGCCTCGGCTTGCCATTTTCGGCCCCTGCTGTGTGCGGCAGCCTACCTCCCCGCGCAAGCTGCCCCCTCCAGCCCTTGTTGGCAGCCGTGTTGGTGCAACCCTCCTCGTACCCTGCTGTGCATGGGTACAAGGCTCTGGGGGTCCTCCACCCTTGAAGGATAGATAGGCCTGAGCTCTGCACAGGTCCTCATAGAGCTTGAGGTGAATGCGGGCATGTTACCATTGGCATCGGGGGGTAAGGCTCCGAACTCAGATATGGGCCAACTCTCTTCTGCTAATGACCCCTATCCCAGGCTTGCTGGTGGGGAGTAGGTGGTTCCACTCCAAAGAGCTGGAGCTTCCCCTCCTGCTGCAGAGCCCAGACCCCACGTCTCCCAGCCCAGGCCTCTGCAACCTGGGGGGGGCGGGGGACAGGTAGATTAGTCACTCTGTCTCCTCCCGCAGCTTTGACCCAACCTGAATTTTACTTACTTCCTCTCTTGTCTGCCCCTGGACTTTAGCCTCACTTAACCCCCATCCTCGCCCGGAGGATGCGACTGCTGCCCGTACTTAGTCACTGGGCCTTACGCTGTAGTGAGGTGAGCCGAGCATTTGTGGAATGTGCTATGAGATTGCTCTGTTGACTGTAATGGTGAACCCGGGTGCATGGCAGAAAGACCTGTGGCATTCTCTAAAAAACGCAGATGTCCTGGCCATGCCCTCAAGTTTAGGCTGCAAAACACCTAGTGCTGTTTTGGAGAAGGTCATGCCGACTTAGTGCCCATTAGTTCTATTGTCTTAAACCAACGACTTCTCCGTAATAGGATCATTTCCTTCAGGGAGGAAGGACCTGGTATGAACAAATGGGGTGCTGCTGATTTCCCCCTGGTGCCTAGACATTAAAAACACCAGTCACTGGCCAATGACTTTATTTGGGAGACACGGTGACGTCATCAACGATGATGGGGTCAAAGAAATAAAAGCCGTGATAATTTCAAGGTCCATTAAAACTCCAGTTTAAAAAAAAAATCAATATTTCCTGAACATTCTATTTTAAGCTTTTAAGTCTAGAACCAGCCAGGAATGAAAATAAGGGCAAAAAAAATCTTAAAACACCACTCTTGAATATTTGATAATTTCCCTCAGAAATGCTATGTACAAGAATAGGTTATTTAAGGTAATTGTTTATCGAAGCGAATGATGTTGTAGCCATTGGATTGTGACGGAAAGTTAACTTTTGCCAGTAAAGACGTGTGATATCATAGAACCTGTGAGAAAATCGGGAGGTGTTTCTCCGTCGGTGTGCACCTGCTCTTCAGAGAGGAGGAGATGGACTTGTACCCAACATCGTGCTCTGGTTCGGCTACCCTTTCCACAGTGGTCAAATAACACCTTCTTGAATGGATAAGAAAATCAATGATGGACCAGGGAAAAAAACAAAAAAACAAAAAAAACCTTGGCGTCCTGCAGTATTTCCATCCGTCTAGATGAACACTGTTGTAAAACTCCTCTGTGTTGTTTGAAAAGTACTTTTTTGCAAGTTTTTGGTTGTTGGAGGTTTCCTTCCCATGATGATGGCAAAGGCCCATCACCGTGCGCACA